GTTTACGAATTAAGGTTCCTGACTTTTTTATTCATCGTAAACTTCAAAAATTGAAAAATGTTCTTTGTAAATTACAGCGACAAAATAAGTTTTCTGCTGCTTCTGCAAAGATGACTTCTTGGTAAAGTCTAAGTTTGGAGGTCACATTTTTGCAAGATATGGAAATGACTGACTTTTCTAACTTGTTTCCAATCGGCAGCGACTGTTCGGAAATTTCGAAAAAAAGGTCAATAGCTGTGTGGAGCACATTTTCTTTTTGGGAAGGGAGGAGGTAGGCTTTATTTGGATTGCATTCTAGAAAATGAGGAATTGTAAAAGGGCGGAAATTGAGGAAATTTGAAATTTTTTCAACACTAAAATTTCCTGAAATTGTTGCAGAACTCTGAAGAGACTTTGCATGTTTGTGATGTTCATCGGTTTTCCAAGAAATTAACCTTTTTGTTTTGATCTTTGCGAAAATCACTTCTGAAAAGGTAGATCGGGTGGCCGGCACGAAGGGCATCTATTCGGTGTTCGATGTCTGTTTTCTCCTTCTGTTATCCAAAAATGCTTGAGATATGAGATTCTCAGATAATTGCCTGGAGCAAGCGGTCCACAAACTCGCGCTTTTCTAGGCAGCCAGCAGAATTTTGGAGCGCGGCCAAGCCTTCAGTGGGCGGCACTTCCTTTACAGTCGCATATTCTGCCAGCAGGCAGCAATACAGCATTTTATGCAAGCGCTCGGCAAATAATTACTTTCAGCGAGCGCTGGCCAATCTTTCAGCAAGCGCTCGGACTTTTTTACGCAGTTTTGGGCGTACGCCGGAAAAAGGTGAGACTCTATGTGGCAGAGGTGTCATTGATGGTTTGATTATCAAAGTTCTGCCGAAAGAAGGTACCCTGGGCACTGCGGTCCTTCACAAAGGACAGTGCGACCCCCAGCAATTTTGCATATTCTCGCAGAAACTGCGCGAAAATGCGGCCACTGGGCCGCAACTTATCCATAGAAAGACCGCGACAGTTCTCCGAGCGTTCGTCTAAAAATTGGCCAAAATTATTCCAAATTTTTGCAAGCGGACCTCAAGAAGTCAGCGAACTATTTTTCCGGTGCTCGCTTGCTCAAAATTCGCATGGCCGCCCCCGGCGATTATCTTTGCACCAGGGTCAAGCGTGTTGATGCGATCCTGGACCCTCATTTACGACCCCCCCCCCTTGAAGGTACCCATCCATACGACCCCCCTCCCCTCCCCCCTCCTCCCCCTCCCCCATCTATCCTCCTTACCTCCCCTGCCCACATTTTTCGCGGTAACCTGCATAAACGGATGTCAATCTCAAAAAACACCTGCTTGAGAACTTCACTGAGGTTTTGGAAGTAGAATTTCTAGGCCAATGGGTGCGCCCAGCATCTACTGCACACATACACGCCTTCAATAAGTTTGAGATTCTGCAAGTATTTTTTTGGATTTTCAGGCATACTTCAGGCCAGCAAATTCGAATCCCGTATGCGACACATCTTTTACACGGAGAACAAAATGACATTCTTGAACTACAAAAGATGTTTTCGACTAAGAAGCTCAGTTCTTACCTCTTCCACAGTTTTTTCTGCGAAAAAAAACCGCTTTAGCGCCGTCCAGAACGAGGTCAAAAACGTGCATGAGCACGGTAGTTTGAAAATTCGTAACTAAGGCCAGGAAAAGACTGAGAGGCTGCAAAGAACAGGTTTTGTAGCATAGTGCCCAGACTATTCATAGAATAAGTTTCAGCTCTTGAGGAGCAGTGAGCTCGAAAAAATTTAGATGCGACTCTCGCAAATTTAGATGCGATCCTAAAAAGCAAAAACTGGGATTTTTGAGCTTGAAATTTTGCAACTTACCAAAGAAGTTACAAAACAGCCTGAAATTTTTATGAGGGAAGTAGGAGGATGGCCTCATGTTACAGCAAAATTGCAACCAACAAGCTTCGATAGCCCCGAAAAAATTTAGATGCGACCCAGATACGACCCCCCCCCCCCCTTTCCTGAATTTTTGCTACCATACATATCATAAGAAAATCCACAGTTTACAGAATAACACCAAATTTCGCACAGTAATAGCAGAGCTTATCTAAAGTACTTATAAATTGTAAGGGCCCTATAATTGGCATTACAAAAAGATTTTCGAATTATTGATTGTCATCTTTGATCTAGATGGGCGCTTTTGTCGAGTGTGTGAGACTTCGGTGAGGTTCCGGAAGCAGAAGTTCTGGGCCAATGGGTGCGCACAGCAACTCTAGCACACATACTAGTGTTTGCGGTTCTCACATTGTTTTTTTGCATTGAAAGATACAGACTGGCTGATGGCTTTCTTACAATTTACCTACGGCTACATATGTTTGAGATTTAAGGGGATGTCAACGGTTTGGTTGCTAAACATACTGAACACTACATGACTATGCACGGGCTGAGAACTCGCCATGACGTCAAGGAAATCAGCGCCCGACTTCAGATCGAAGAGGAAGCCAAACTAGCAATTTTTTCTATCGGCTCAGTTGCCGAAACAAGTCCATCGTGATAACTCAACAACAATTTTCTCGAACTTTCATGACAGCATCTTTGGAAACAAACACTTTGTTGTAGCCAATGTCTTGAAGGGGCCTTACTGCGCTCTATGACTGCAGACGAGAGGAGTTCAAAACCTAACTAACCTAAGTATAAAAAACAAGTCATTTCATTCTCTCTTAAAATGCAGCAAATAAAGCGAGTTTCTACATAGGCAAATGTTTTACATTGCATGTTGCTCAGTCGTTCTCATTTGGTATATTGGTACTCACAATCAGCATTCTACGAATCATTGTAACGAACATGTATTAATTATTTAAAATAATTATACATGTTATTACTACTATTTAATTAATAATTATTACATGTTATTTAAATTTAATTATTAACATGTAATAATCAAATAATAATAATTGTTATTTGATTTGCTTTCAAGCGTACGGTTTTCTATCCAAACTGCCCCCTTTTACGACCCCCCCCCACCATAGGTCCCTTTTCCCCCGTTGTGACAGTCGCATCACACGCTTGACCCTGGTTTGCACTCTGAGCTTATACTTTTCGCTGTTTTCTTTCAGGTCTCCGCTTTTGTTACGTGATAGTATTTATTATAACACATAATACAGATATCTTGTACATATGATACTCACATGGCCAAAAAGGTAGACAGAGCCATTCTGTAAAATTTGCAAGATAATTGCATCATCATTCCTACAGCTGCCTCTCATAAAGTACAAAACGGGTAAAACTTGAATTTGTTCTTGTTTAGAAGCATGTCTTGGAAAACGATCAAACGAAAGGCATCTCGAGCATGGATTCTGCTTATAGTGGCAATTTTTACAATGCTTCAGTTTTCATATATTCAACATATCTATGGTTGAAGTTCAGCCAAAATGAATTTGCTATACATGTATGGTTGGGGTTCAGCCACAACGAGTGCACCACAAAAATATGTGGGAAATCCCTTCAATGATGGTCGCCTTGGAAACCAGGTAACTATCGTTTATCGGTTTATATGTTCAAAACCTTGAGTCTTCCAAACAATTTGACCTTGATGGGCATTTCTTTTGCTACTGACAAACGATGTCAGGTGGAATTTGCTTCTTATATTGCCTAAGTGTAGAAAAACAGAGCTTGCGAGGGTGGTAAAGTCAATGGAAAACTGTTAAGGGGAAGAACAGTTATCGTAATACAGTCCGTGTCAATCACGTGCTCCTTTTTTGTGAAACAATGAGCTTCGCGCAACGGCGCGCGTATGACTCGGGCATGCAAAATGCCTCATCGATTAAAGGTCCATAAGCACGATCCTTGCGCTGCGCATGTGTAATCCCCATGCGAAATGGAGTACGTAATTGACATTGACTGCAAACTCACTCGCTCTCCTACATTTCAGATTGTCAGTACCATGACGAAGCTGATGCATGATTGAGTGCTCAAATACTGAAAGCACATTTTCCTAAAATCAATTTTTTTGCGCATAACTGTAAACAAATTGAATCGTTTTCATCGCATAGATAACTATATAACGTGATATCTGGTTGGAACCTGGGGGCTAAGGGAAACAAAGTTCGGAAGTTTGTGGAGAAATTATGTGGTTTGAGAGTGTGACAAGCTTTTTAGTGGAAGTTTAACGATATGGCTTCGAATTTGGTGTGTATATAAAAGCAGTATATTTTCCAGTTAGGATGCAGTTGCCACCGCAATGTCACCCTTATGGTGGCAAGACTTTCACTTCATAGAACTTTCCAAAATGTTTTCGTAAAGCTCAGTCGATTCTAAACACGAAGTTTACTACATAACGTTTTGGTTTTAAAAATCCTCTTAACCTTTTTTTGATCCATTATGACGGTCTTTACGAGGAAAAGTGCGTTGCAATCGAACAACTTACGCAGCTGCGCGGTCATACAGGATATCGTGAATTTTGAAAGTGGCAAGGGCAAAGGGGTTTTTCCACTGCCCATTTGCCATCTTCAGTGTCGGGTCCTGCAAAACATTCCACATTACAGATACTTATGCGCGATAAAAAAAATCTATGCATAGAGGAATCTTTACTTGACCTCAAAAGATGAGAGGATTAACAAACACCAAACGTATGCTCTATCAGTTGTTCTCCCAACATCACAAACTGCATCGATTTCGTATGTTTAGTGGACCCTTTTGAAAACTTCAAATGTTGATCACCATTGCTTCTTCTCGCGTCCAGATCCGCGCAGCTTAGACTGACGTTTTTTCAGTTTGACAGCTTGCTCCATAGTAAAATGACAAGAAAATAAAGGCAATTGATTTTTTATGCTTATAGGCAGAAATCGCGTATAGATTGATTCCGTTCTCTCCTGAACGGCTCTTGTTCATTTGAATCAATGTATTGGAATGTAGGCAATAGTGCTTTCGATCCAAAAAACTGTTGCTGTTAGTGTTACATACATAAAGTTTTCGTGCAATTTCCTTCTCCTCACTTTCTCAAACCGTATTCCGGACAATAGTTTTCTAGTTGTTCCATCTGATCATCGGCTATGGGATTGCCAGAAAACTAAACAGAACTCAGTATCTTCCATTTGCGGGAGAACGAAAGCACGCCGAGAAGTACCTTACCTACCTACACAAAATTTTTCCGCGTTGGACTCGGACCTATGTTCTTCCTGAGGTAAGCTTATTCAATGCTTTGCAGTTTCCTTCTATTGGTAGTTTTGAGTGTAGCACTAGCTTTTCAAATTGATGTTTAAGAGGCTTTAGACGCGAAGTGTGAAGTTCGAACCTACTGCCATCAATGGGTTATTTTAAAAGTTTTTCTTTTTCTAAATATTGGGCACAAATTCTCAATGACTATCTAATATTTGCTATGCAAAGTTGCATATTCATATTAGAAGGTAGAGGCTTTATTAGCTCTTGTAAATTTTTTGTCAGAAAGGCATCAAAGAAAGGAAGGTGAAATTTGGCGGATCCTGGTCCTACGATGATCCTTTGAGGTTTGCTTTAGTATAGTCGCACCTAAAGAGCTTGAAGGCCTACATTTTTAAGGCTGAAAAACTTCACCGATCAATATCTGCTGCTAACGCACTACTTTATGCGGAATCGCAGATATTTTGACGACTATCTCGAGGATGTGCGCGAAATTCTACAATTTTCAGAAGAAGTGAAACAGAATGGAAGTAGTGTACTTCGTTCCCTTAATAAGTGCTGGTGATTCTCTACTTTACTTCGAAGATAATACTTCTACAATTGTTCAGTCACTCTCATGCATTATGCATACATGTACGCTTGACGGACTTCGTTGCGCTAAAAAGGTCTACTGATATGAAATCTACAGTAAAAGCTGCGAATCAGCTTGCTATAAGGAAGGTATTATCTGTGCTATATTGCTGAATCATCAAATGCCCACTATTCTGCAGAACATATCGCATTTTATGATATTTGGAGATGATCAGAAATTCATGAACAAACTATCAGAGGCTATTATAAAGGAAGGTGGTTGGAAGAGTGATGTAGGTTTACACTTTTGTAATGATACTTGAGTGACATTATATTCTGTATTTTAGGCTGTGGCTATTTCTAAATATGACGAATCCATAGACTTGTATTTGGCATCGGTGATATGCAGCTCATTTCTGATTACCGCCGCTCGCTCAACTTTTGCTTTTTGGCTTGCCTTTTTCGTTCAAGATCAAAATGCGGTATACTATCTGAATGTGTCTACAAAGGATTTGGTAATGTGAGTTTGTTCTAACTAAATAAGCCAGGAACATGACTTCAAAACAAGCAAGGCATGTGCAGGATCCAGATTCAAGAGTCCTATCCGGCCATCAGCTTTTGCCTTTCTCCGTTGTATAAAATGGAAAGAGGCAAAAGAAAAAATATTGACCTGTGACGGCTTCATATTCGTCCAAACGATCTCTCCACCCCTAAAAAAGTTTTTGCGGACTGGACTTGAGCTGATTCAGTGGAGTGTTTGCCTGTTGTTGTTTTTTTTGTTGCTAGTTGTTTGATGCTTTGTTTCTGTGTTAAATGGGCACGCCTTGTGCGTATTAAATAAACGTAATAATTAATAATAAATAAATAAACGTTAGGCGCGACGCAAAAATCTCGCGTAGACGTTGTCCTCCGGCTTGCAGAAGTTTGACGGAAAGATGGTCTGGTTTCTGGAGCAGTGATCTAGATCGTCGTACGCACTTCAGCTGTCAGAATTCGTGGTGATACTTCTCCAGTGTGAATAACGGACATCGGCACGGGTGTACAAGTTTTTCGCGATTTCACCTTATAACTGAAAGAAGTGGGGTTTCGTCTTCGTTTAACAATCAGCGGTACGTGATATTCGCAGAGGTCCCTTCAGTACTTTTCAAGACTCCGGCCTCCTTCGGCTGCTTCCATTATGTTGACTTGCCTGTAATTCTTGAGATCCTCCTGCAAAGCTGTTCTGCAACGGCGCTGGCTGTCAGTCGCTCAAGATGGGTTACCCTTGGATTTTGCCTCAGGCTTAGTGGTCTTCGAAATACTTCCCAAAATCTTTTCGGAAGTCACTGACGTGCACTCTTCGCAGGCTCGCAAACCTTTTAGAAGCCGGTATTCGTACGTTGGGTCCTCCTCGATGGGCCTGTCACAACCTGATATGACCTCTTCCAACCTGTTACCGTTACAAACGACATTTCTTCCGTCTTGCAGCCTTTGACTGAATCACCTTCGCTCGAAGGAAGCGCTGCTCTAAGCCACTGCTGAAGGATGGAACTACTGAGACATCGAGCAAGCTCCACCTTCGGTTGGTGAGGTACGTGGCAGCTCTCCGCGTGAGGCACCTTTGAGCGATTATATCCACCGCCGACGTTCTTTCCTCATGAAGATGGAATTTCCATGGAGAAGTCGTGCGGCGGAGAGAAGCCCAACGACACGGTTGCCGTTTTCGTTCCAAAGCCATAACCTAACTTCCCAATCCTATATTTCTCTTCTAATGGCATTCCTATTTTCGCGTTGGGGTCGCCCACAACAAACTTTTGAAAAGCTTCTCGTTGCGTATGATCTCGTCCACGTCTTCGTGAAAAGCATCTAGTTCCTTCGTCAGCTGGTGATGTTAAGGGCAGGGCATACTTCACCCGATTTCAATCACGACGCGATTTGGCAATTTGCCAGAAGTCTTCAGGTCCAACACTAGCAAACTGCACATGCATAATGTGCATAACTTACGCGGATTGATAAAATGCAATATCTTTTGTACATTCAAAATGTGCTAGTTATGGACACTTGAATATTGCCAAATCGCGTCGCGACTGAAATCGCGTTAAGTATGCCCGGCCCTTTGGAGAGTAGCAGCTTTTGATGCTGATGGTCTTCTGACGTAGGATGGTTAATGAAGGTGATAGGAACTCATGCAATCGACAAGATGGACGATAGATGGTTGGAAGACAAAGCCAACGCCTACAATGTTTTGTGGTAGAATTTTCTCATCGCGAATGATATGGGTCTCATCACTCATCTGTCGCCCCTCCTTCTTCCTTGACTTGTTCCCTGCATAGCAATGAAGTGGCACTTGATGTGCTCTGCAGCGTCGAGAGGAGCATGGAGGGCGGCGTTTGTAAAGACTGTCCTGGCGTTGTAGATGAGGTAGGCGTGGGGGGTGGCACTTGGTGTCAAACTGTGATGCAGACCAGTGTATACTCTGGTAGAGTCTCAAAAGCTATGAAGAAGTTCGACGTTTCCGATTTTGACCGGATGTCTAGCTAAGAGCAGGCTAGATCCTCTGTCTAATGCTTTTGTAAGGTAAAACTTCTATTACCTCTGAACTTCTATTACTCCTTCAGCAAGAAGAAATAGAAAAAACCCTGCACATCGGATCCCGCCTACGGCGCCGGGCGGTAGCAAGAACGATGTCAGGATACTCAGGGCGCCTTTCGGATAGGACAAAAACGACACGTCTGCCCGGACAACACGCCATGAAATTAAGGTGGCCGATCGTTGTGAGGGGCTATAACAAGCAGAGATGCAAACTTGTAGACAGCGATCTTTGTATAGATCTGTGCACCAAATTCAAAGACAAAGTTTGATTTCGAGACGATGAGAGGAACATCCATCATTGACTGAGGAGTTGAAATTAGACCTTCTTATGATGAGCTTACAAAGAAGCCCTAGCATGCGAATCAAACACTATTTCCGTATTATCTGCTTCAAAAAGTTTTTATCAGAACTTCTCAAAGACTTCTAGAATACAAAGAGATGCCACACACTACTTTATCCTTAGTTTTTATATTACCCCTTTTTTCCACCATCGTCTAAGATCCTAGGTCTAGCAAGGAAGCTTTGAATAGTTGGTTTCCCTTTTCTCGTTGAGGATGATTCTTTTGCGCTCAAAATGAACTGAGTGTAGCTCCTTGTATTTACGGTGTTTGTCAGCTTCCACCTGAAAGGAAGGGATCAGTTATTTTTCCTTGTGACAAAGACATTGCTGAAAAGAGTAGAAGGTGATACAAGTGATGCATGGTGACACAAAATTGTACTGCATCTGCAAGTTGCAAATTATCATTGGATATCGAAGGTTGAGCAGCAAAGCCGCCAGCATATACGCAGCGCCAGCGTATCGCATATGCATGTGAAGTCTCCGCAAAATCCTCGCCCTACTTGCAAAAATGCAGTGGGAACGAGTGCAAGCGTCAGCATTGTTATAGACACGTTTATGGAAAGTAAAAGAAACGAAACGACGTGAAATAACGCTGAATAAAAACTTCGTGATCACTTGCAACACTATGTTATCGAATGCTTATAGCGTGTTCGATAAGGCTACGTGCGCTTTCTCTTTCGCCTTCTCTTTGTTGCCGTCTGCTACAGAGCTGCAGCTCTGTAGCAGACGGCATATAACGAAGCAGTAGTTTATTGCGTTGGCACAATGGGGTCGAATTCTAGTTTCGAAAACCTAGTGTTGACAGAGAACTAACATGTAGAAATGAGACGGGGACAGTATTATGCTGTAGAAAATAGCAATGGTGACCTCTATGAAAGTGCATTGGCAGGGCTGGACGGAACCGGGTATGCCAGCTAGTAGGTAATGAAAGTTACTCAAGGCAAATACTACGCCTACGCTCATCGAAATTTTTTTACGAAACTTTTTAGGGATAAATAAATAAAAAGCGCTAAAAGTCTGAGCACAGAACATTTTATTCATTTGCTTGCGTATACCCAACTTGAATAAAATTTGACTTTTTACTTGAGGAAGACACGGCAAAAGTATTCCATCAAGTAGGAGTTATGGCTACAATTTCCACAATGGTCAAATGTTGCACGGCAGCAAGTCTCCATCAACGCAAGAGAATTAATAGCATCTAAGAAGTTCTAAAAAAACCCATAGAAGATAGAATCCATGCTAAGAATTTCATTCTCTTTTTCTCTTATTTATATTTTCTCATACCAACATGAGGCGATCTAAATACCATAAAGCGCATAGCGTCGAATTTTTGCATGAATGTCGAAAAATTTTTGGATATCGTTTACCAGATAGCAATTATGCAAGTGGTTAGTTTCAACTTTTGATCAATTAGAATTACGATTATGGAAGCGTTTGATTTTTTTTAGCTTGGCGTACTCCCCACCAAGCCAAACTATTCCAAAAAGTTTTAGGCCCGTATGCACGTACATCCCCGCGGGGAGGGGAGGGGATCTGAGAGGGGAAGCCTCATATTTCGCTACTCTGTATACCTTTCTTCTTCCTTCTTTATCTGTGATATGAAGGTTCTCTTACCATGATACCTACGCATAATAAATGTCAGGCTACTATGATAAAAGATTACATTTTCACCAGTTTGAGTGATCCCCTGGGGATCACCAGGGGATCACCTATCATTTTCGAAGTCATCTATCTTTCTGGAAACTCCATGAAAATGCTGTAAAGTTGTACTGAGGATATACTACGGCACTAGTAAGCATATTTTTGACAGAAGAAATATAGTCTGAAATTATCAATTTTTCGATAATCCCTGGCTCGCGAGTAGCGGTTCATCGAAAATTTCGATATTCTGAAATTTCCCTTATTTCTACTATCGACATGTTTAGCAGTACTATATTATACCCTCAGCACAAATTTAGAACATTTTCATTGAATTTGTAGGAAGATAATGACTTTGAACATAAGACGTGATTTCCTGGGGATCCTCAGGGGATCACACGAAGTTGTGAAAATCTAAACTTATATGGCAATAACCTGGCATCCATTATGCGCACGTATTAGGGTATGAGAACCTTCATATCACAGCTAAAAAAGGAAAACGAAAGATATACAGAGTAGCGAAATATGACGCTTCCCCTCTCAGATCCCCTCCCCTCCCCGCGGGGATGTACGTGCATACGGGCCTTAGAGGGTGTGACTTTTTCGTCTCCCGGTTGTATCCTGTTTTGTTCCTTGCCACTCCTCAAATTGCTTCCTTCCTCACGATTCTCAGGTAAACCGAACGTAGCAATTCTTATGAGTCTTTGTTCCTGTAACATAATAGGTGCCGATCAGATTCTGTGTTCAATTGAAATCACCAGTAAGCCACCATGCAAGGCAAACTGTTAACCACTTGTAATACACGTTCATGATTGCATAACTATATCAGATTGGAATGTAGCAAGTTTATCTCAGAATTTGAGTTATTACCTCTGTTGTTAGTATTCTCTTTTGATATTCTGGATTCCTGCTATTTTTTCCTTATCTTCACTGCAATTTGTGACGAAAATTAGAGTTATGAGTAATAAATAATTAAAATCGTATTGTTTTCCTTTTTCCCAGCTAGTCTCGCATATCAGCTTTTCCGCAACAAACGCGGTTCGATGTTGTCAAAACTTGTTTCAAAAATTTTCTACAAAACCGTGACTTCAACTTCAGAATAAGCTTGAGAATAGGGCATTTCTAAGTGGCAGGTGGAGAGCCTGACGGAGAAGAGGAATAGACGGGAGACCTACCGGTGTCAAGTATTGCTGCTGCTGCTCGTTAACTGGATTCTAGATTACTAGATCTAACCGGGGGGTAGCACCAGAGACTTCTGAATATAAAATCCCCCTTGACTTCATGGAAGAGTAACATGCTCTATGAGGTGGTCATGCAGAGGAAAATGGAGATAAGAAAGAAAAACGTTAAAATCTTATTGAGCACAAGGAATAATGTTATTGAACATTTGCTTTGATGGCATGTTGTCTTTGAGGCACTACTGCACCTAGAAGGATCGCGCCAGCTTTAGTTTAGAAGGCTGTAACTAACAACCTAATGATACCAAGTCGATTTGTCTTTTTCGGAAGCAACGCATACCATTCGATGTTCTCTCTTCTGCAGCTGCTGAAATTTTCTCAAAACTGTTCAAACGTTTTTTGCTCATTTGGCATAGTTCAATGTGCATATAACAAAAGTGACAAAATTGCCTGTCCTGTGCTTTAAAAGCATGTTTACAGAGAAAGGATCTTAATTGTACGATACTTATGGTATGGCGGTTTTATCAGTGCACAGCATGCAAAATCCGCATAAAAACGCCCACAACTTCTTCCGAAAAATTGCCGAGCAGCTGTCAAATACAGATTTGGGATCAGCGCAAAGAGCTGCATTAAAAGTTATGCACTACATATAGAAAGGCCGGATCGACTTGGTATAACTTCTTCGTAAGCGGACAGAAGGGAGTATGAAGCCAGAACTGACATAAGATTTGAAATGTATATAAAAGTTATGTAGCAGGCTTTCTACCCCGAAACGAAATCCTTGCTTGTCATGCTTCGATACCATAGATATCTATCTGAATGCAAGGGAAAGCAGGCTACTCCTTTAGTGTAAAATTTAAAATCTCAGTAAATTTCTGCCCATTAGTCAAAGACGTCAATTTATACATGTTTATATTCAGGGGTGCTATGCATCAATCGCAAGATTGTGTTCTGGTTCTGGCAGTTACACGATCTTGAACCAGCACACGATCTGCCGAGGCGCACGCGATGTATCAATGTGTGCGCAACATCGTGTAATTACACGATGTGCGCTGTTAGTGTGCGCCAGGCGCCCAGAACTGGCGCATATCCCAAACGGCTGTTGACCCCGAATGTGATTGCCGTTCGCGCATTTTATTGCATTTTTTCCCGTGTCATGGCTCCTTTCCTGCTATTTTCTCTTCTTCACAGTACTCACATGCCTCAAAATCGAATCTTCTCCTTAATTTAAGCTTGGTATGTAAATTATGCACGGGAGATGCAACTTTAGTACTCTTTCTCAAAGTTTTGAGTAGGCGTCAAATAGCACATCATCGTGAATTCTATGTGCGCGAATATGTTACTGCTATTCAGCTGTGAATGGTAATCGTCAGTAGTTAATTTCCTCAGTGTATAAGAATTATTCGTGCAGTTTGTTGCCGTTGACTTGACTCTTGAGATTTTGCCGAAAAGCTCTCAGCATGTGTTCTAAAATCCGTGACGTTTGTGTAATGACACATATCTAATATATAAAGAATCGTAAGCGCAATTCAAAAATGTGCACATAGCGGGAAACCGCGGTGCGGTCCCGAAGCGCGTGGATACCATCTGGCACCTTTAATTACTGGTTCACTAGTTATTACATGAAATAACTGAACCGAGCAACTTTTGTAATTGAAGACGTTTTTAAAGCCATTATTCCAGAGTTAGTTCCGCGAAAATGGGCCGCTCTGGCGCTTTGAGGCGCATTTGAGCGGGTAGAGGACTATAGGTCGCCTAGGCTTCCCCCGCGCGGAATAACACGAGCTATGGAAAAAGTGCGCAATCCTTACAAATGTCCGCGCACCTTCCTTTTCAGCGACCTAATGCCCTGTACCCATTTGAGTTCCTTTTCGGCGCGAACGCTTTTGGGCTCTTTCTGCGGAAGCAAAAGTCAAAGTGGAAACAGAATGCGACAATAACAAACTAATTCAAAAACTTACAAGAAACTTCCACTCAAATGCCCTGTTCGAAGTTTCAGAAGTAGGAAACTCATTTTTGTTTTAAAGTGTCGATTTGAAAATTTTTGGAGTTCCTGCGTTAGTGAAACTAGGGTATGCCATTCACCAAAATGGGTCACTGACTGGTTTTGAAGAGCTCTGTTCATCAGACACCTTTCAAGCAATGATAGGCTGCTGCATAACGAAGGCGCAATATCGTTGGGCGCGAACGCGGCTTTGTTAGCCGCAACAGGATTTACAACGTTGAAGAGCGCGCGCCGCGTTCGCTCGACTAATAATGCTTCTGCGCCTCCGTCGTGCATTAACCTTTATAACCTTCAAAGCTCATCACGCCTGCGAAATCAGAAAATTCAGTACTGATAAAATTGGAAATCTTACAACGGTTTCAAGTATAGTCGTTTCAAAATGCTACTACCGGTGTTACCGACGTGACTGTCACAAAGTTACCGTTATTACTGCTGCTCTCTGAATGATATGATCAGTTTTGCAGTCTTATACGTACCCGATCCCACTGTATTATTAATGAGCTGGTCCTACTACAATCGTTGCACTAGAAAGCTAGCCATCGTGCTGGAAAGGAAAAAATAAGACTGCAACAATGATCACTTCGTTTTAGGTGATAGACTCCTAATAAGCGGTAGCAACTTAGGTTAGTAACACGGTAACCCTAGTAGTGTGTAGCCAGACCCTAAACTCAAGGACAAATGTCATGCCCATAACTCCGTAGTAAAAACTCATTCAACATAGTTTTATAGATGTGACTTACAATTATGTAAGCATTCGCAACATCTGACATAGTTACATAATGCAAATGCTACGCAAGGTGAATAACAGAGAAATAAGAGGATGTTCAGTGGTTGCTTATCACATTACAAAAGAAAATAAGAGATAACCAGATTATGAGCAAGAAAAATCTACGAGGATGGTGTCAGAGTCTTGAGTTTTTTTAGGAGTCGAAGAAGTTGTTAAGGTACCATCTGAATTATACTAGACAAAAAAAGGATGCAAACATTTCACATCTCAGAACTCACTGACGGGTGAATTGCTTGAGAGCAATATTACAAGCGGTAAACACTGCGAAGGCACAGCAGGAAGTGATCTCGACGCAACTGCATAGTTGTTTATTCGATGTTTTCACCAAGATAGTTTGCTACAGAGCGTACGTGATCCAACCTATAATAAGCAAAGAACTGTACTACACTTCCCAAGCCCATTTATTCGTGAATAAGAAGTTGACCAGCAATGTAACAATCTTAGACACCTACACTATTTCCAGTAAAAGCTCGTCAGAATCTCTAAGGGCTTCTGATCACCAAATTTATTTTTTCCATTGTTGAAAACCCTAGAGCCAAAAAATTTGATATGACCTAGCGCTTGGAACTTGAAAAATGGTCACTGTAAAGAAGCACATGCTTGCGCAAATTGTGATCTGTCGTACTTATGCTAACATGGCGCTAAAGTTTGCATTTTCAACACTTTTTTTGACCTAAGAACGAAGAACCAGATATATCATTTGTGACTCAATATAGGGCCCTGCATGATCGCGAGAGTCGGTGAGTTTGCGGCCATTGCGCACATAGGATCCAGAAGGCCTCACACCGAACAACCCCGTACTTTCCAGCATCGCTTCAAGTGATTCAAAGCTAACACCTGATAGCAGAAAAGCGCTTGAAAGGAAAACAAAAACCGAGAAAGTTCAATGCGCGAGCAATGGGCGCAACCTCACCGACTCTCGCGATCATGCAGGGCCCTATATGTGAGTCCCCATACTATGCGCGATAGCCGCCGGCACCCTTAATAGTAACTCCTCAGTAAAACCCTTTCTAGCGTTACAAACTATAGAGATGAGTACTACCAACTAATACACACGAAAACAAGGAGAAACTACTGGAAGTGGGTTCTAATTTTGCAAGTTCGTCGAGTAGCGCGCATGGTATGCAATACGCATACTGAGTTACAAGTGACTCCACGGCTAGCGGCAAATATCTCAGAAAAATCAACAACATAGCATCACAGCAGACACAGTCGAGTAGATCTGCCGCTTAATATAGTATGCTTGCTCTAAAGGTGAAATGCGATAAAGTTTGTTCATGAAGAAATAGCTACGCCTTCAATGCCTTCCAATTGCACGCGCAGAAGGCCGGCATTACTGGCGTGGCTAATTGCTTTTACGCGCAAATTTTACCGTATTTCACCTTTAGAGCAAGCACACTATATTAAACAGAAAATCTACTCAATTGTACTGGGATGGCAAAAAACGAAAGGAAAGATGACATACCTCGAGAAAAAGGTAGCACTTCTCCTGTTTTCCTCAAATTGTGCAGTGTGTGATCCTACTTCATGCTTTCAGCAAGTAACAGGACCATGAAGAGAAAGGCACACCACATAAGCTAGGGGATGGCCGAAGAAGGTGGTAGGGTCATAGTAATTGCCATCAAGCCACCCTGCAAACAGGAAAGACAACAGAGCTGTACTAAATGAGAACACAATGCCCTACACGTTAGAGATTACAGAATGTTAAGAACCAAAAAAAATTTATCCACTTGAAACTGACTGAAAAAGCATAAACAAACTGTACCTGCGGTGTAAACTATAGTAGAATTCATAATAGAATCTTTAGACAGCAATGCACATAACCGTTAACGAACAGAATGCAGCAACTGACAAGCTCATGTATCGTAGTGTATGTAGGCTGAATTGGCCGGATTCAGATGCGGTGGTCTAAACACCCAATGTAAAAGATGAACCTGCTGATAACGGATCAAAAAGATCGCACACCACGAACTTGTTGATAGTGAACAAGAGTAAGGCCAAGATTTGGATTCGGAATACTCTGACATCCAGAAATACAAGGTGTCCCAAAAAAATGTATCGAACGTTTGATCGTTAATATCTCTCTTTCCAAGAAATCTTTTGCCTTGCTTTAAATACCGTTTTGTAGAGCTGGCTTCAACTTAGATTTGCATCATAGAACGAATCACCCATCCCTCTTCATTACTGAAGGATTACGGTAGAAACTTGAAACATATGGTGTCAATGTGGAAAAAGCTGCCGTTTCAAAAATTTTCAAAAAAATGTGAAAACTTGAGTAATAGGGTTTTTATGGACGCTGAGTACAATACTCAACTATTCACGAGATTACGAAGCTTTCTAAACGGTGTAACCGCACTTTTAAGGAACACTGAAAAAATGGCCGCTACCTCTTACCTGGCATAACTCTCCAATGAAGCATCATAATAAACTGGGAACTTTACAGTTGTAATCAGCAACTCTAATTAGCCTAGTATAAAAGTTTTGAAGCTGTTTTGTTCCCTTTTTGAGACAAAATATGACCTTTCATTGCTTAAAACCTCTTTGAAGTTTCTACCGTAATCCTAGAGTAATGCAGAGAGGTGAGTGATCCGTTCTATAATGCAAATCTAAGTTGAAGCCAGCTCTACAGACTGGTGCCTGAAGCAAGGGAAAATACTTCTTCAGAAGAGAGATATTAACGATCAAACGTTCGATACATTTTTTTGGGACACCCTGTAGATACAGGTAGATAGATATGACGAAAAACGGGAGACCCCGCACAGCCAAGCTAAACGAGCACGAATATGATAAAAATAGACTAAACGGACATGCAAAGATTTTGCCTCTATTAATATGAACATTGCGTATGCGTACATCTTCCAGAGTTTCAGCTTAGTTAAGAAGCATACAGATTCACAAAATATTTATCAACCTTTTTCCAAGGCTCATCTCCTGAAAAGCAGCACATTATACATCATTTACAAAGCCCCAAATATTTTCTACATGAGAAAACTTTACCCATCAAGGCTTCTACAAAGTAAGAACGTGTCTTTGCACGATGGACTGAAGATGAGACTCACTGCTAAATCCTAGTAATGAACGAATTTCGACAGAAAAACTGGAGTATGGCGTTTTTTTTTGTGAAAATAGACGTGCGAAAATAATGACCGTGACTGAACAAACCGCTTTGTCACACGTCACATAGACTGCGCACGATCTCGACAGATCGTGCGCTGCTACACGATCTTGTGCCAAGATCTTGGGCTTCATACATTGCGAGATCGTGTGCTCGCACCTGATCATGGGCAAGTTTTTAACGTTAGCGAGCACACGATCTCGCGATCGTGCGATTGATACACTTATGGATATCGTGTCACCCTCTTACATGAACGATACCATATTAATGCGAAAGAACGCCTCAAGGTGCACCTAACACAATCTTACAAGATGTGTTTATCTCAATAAACATGAACAACTCGCAAATATATCAAGCCGGCAAAAGAAAACAACAGAAACACAACAAGAATGAGAAATTGGAGCCCAAACGTGGTGGCTCGCTGGTCGTAGGTTCTTCACTGACTCGCCTGACTCCTCCTCTGCTTGGCATAGTTGCGCGTCGAGCTATCGCTGTGCCATCTGTAAACAAAGAGTATGGGAAGGAAGAAAGCGTACGGTGTTATACAAGTGATAATGGGAAAAGGCAAAAAGGAAAAGGAAAAGAATAAATGTAGGTTTACATACCGGATATATACAGATATATACTTCTATTTACACCTCTCCCCTTTAACAAGAGTCCGTCCTCGGACTCAGAGTCGAACTGCCGGCCTCATGTGTTGGTCGAAGAAGCCCAAATCGGTAATTACGCCTGTCCTCTCGCACCACTGCCGACCATGTGTGGACGTCCTGCAAAAAATTGAGTGAACCTATGATAAATAGGCCATCTTTACCACGGGACAGAGCCACATTCATCCTCTTTGCGTCGGAAAAGAAGGTGGCCCGGTCCCTTTGCTCCATCTGTGTGCGAATTGTGCACAGAATGACGACCGATCGCTCCGATCTTTGAGCGCTGTCAACCGTTCCGACTGTCACTCCGGTGCCCTGTAATAGCGATTGGCAGAGGAATTTCTGGTCGCGATAAAGGCAAATGACTAAGATGTCGCCTGCGTTCATGCCTACCGCCATGAGCAGACGTGCCAGAACTACCACTGCTTTTGCCTCTAGATCGTTAGAGTGTGATCCCGTGATGGATTGTACCGAAAAGCTTGGTACATTGACCAAAGCTACTGGCACCCGGCTGTTCGGCATCCTCAGCCTCGATAGCAGACCTCTTCTTTGATGTGTCGGAGTGCCGCAAACGAGCTGTTCATCGTAGAAGAGCTCCGAATTGAGCCGCATTATCTCGGCATGGGGTCTGTAAACCGTACTCACCGTGCAGATGGGTACGTTCCCATTCCTGCGTGCCACGTCCAACACTGAGCGGAAACTTACCTCCACCGCAAGTGGGATCGTGTGCACGCCGATATATGGCGGCAACTGTTTGCTGTCCCCGATTAGTGTAAATCGCGCTTGCTGGAAGCGCGAAAGCATGGCCATAAGTGCTGCCTCTGGAATCATGGACGCTTCGTCCAGCAAGACGCACTTCCACGAGTTACCGATCGTGCGCCATAATCCTCTTTCAGATGTTAGATTGAAGGCGGCTGCTATCGTGCAGAGGTACACATTTGGCTTGTAAATTCTCAAGAAATGAGCAGCCAAAATCTTTACCTGCTCGGACGAGTTCTGTTCCAAGACAAGCAATTTTCTATGCTTGCTTGAAACCACTTATCTTTCCGTGCCGGTGTAGACGAAGTTTCTTATTTCCTGACGAGCTTCTGAAAAGCGTTTAAACCTATTATACCAGGCCTTTGTTAGGAGATGACCATGAGTAACGTGGAAATTCTCCATCAGCGTGTACAATGCGTAGGGCGATGTGTTTTCGGGATCCGCAGACATGATGTCGTTGACGTAGCGCACTGGTCGGACATTTTCTGCTTGCAATTGTGCAATTTTGGATCCAATTACGTCCAGTGCGCTGTTTTGTACCGCGGTGAAGAGGATCTTTTCCTCATGATTGACTGCCTCTAACGCCATAACTGCGGTGCAAAGGGACTTACCCGCTCCGTATGCGCTGTCGACCACCATTAGCGGGTAGTTTTTGTTGAAAGTGTTCACCGCATGGACTTGATGGTCGTTTAGCTGTACGGAAGTCCCTGCCACATTGACGGTAATGCTTTCTTGGTTCGGCGTGTCGATCCCTTCCAGGTCAATGTCTCCTGCAAGTAGAGCTCTGGCTGAGTTCCAGCCAAACGTACCTGGATGGAAGAGATTGGACAGTGTCGAAGCGTCCAGCATCTTCAGAACAGGATTCGCACGCTCTTCCATTGTGTGTAGTGATGTGCCAACTGCAATTCGTCCTGTCCTGGAGTTGATTATGTACGTGCGAAAACGCACTCCGGAGCTAGTTTGGAGCTTTGCGTTCACTTCAGAAAATTCGGTGCCCATTTCTATCTGGTCGATCTGACCTTCAAGAAAGTCGGACATATATGCTCCTCTAATTGTCCTACCTACAGCCCACTCGGTCTTTCGACTGATGGGGACGGAAAACATAGCCATGATCGGGAAGCCGTTCAAGTCTGGCGATTCTCACACACATGGGTGCAGATCGGTGTCCGTTGCCTCTGTTATGGCTGCCGAAATCGCTCCACAGGCGGTGCTGTAGAGTGGCTCCAGGAACTCTAAAACTTCAGCTGGGCTTGTCCTAAAGAGCTCAAAGTTCGGCAGCTTCCTTTCAACCAGTTTACGGTGGTCATTACTCGTTCTTCGCACGTCGAACGGGACTGGCGCCGGACTGGCGTAGTACGGAATTTCCGCCACATGAGCCGCCAACTCGTTGAAATTTTTGGGCTGGCAAGCGAAAACTATATAGTCCAACTGACGCGCTCTGAAAGGTGCGACAATAAATGAGTTTGGCTCTACGCTGGAGAATTCCTGCGGATTTTCCATGCGGGCTTTCGTGATGGAAACCAGCTGCCGATGACCCTGCATGCAAATACGTAGGGACGACCTGGAGGATCCTATGCTCACTACGAATCCTAACGTTTGTGCCAACTCACGATGTACTAGAGCAAATCTTGCAACGCGCCAAACTGTCGGCCTACGCACTATGCATGCTTCTTGGTAATTTCGCGGCGCTCTAAGCTTGGTGGTAGAGAATTTAACGGTCTCCCTAAGCGAATAAACCCAAATTAGGTCGCCAATTATCATTTTTGACGGGTCGACGCCGTTCTTACCTGTTGCGATATTGATCGCGCATGGATCGATTGTTATTAGAAACAAGTCGAGCCTATCTGGTAGTGCCGTCTCGAAGTGCACTATTTCGAGCTTAGCTCCGTTACCAAAAAGACTTTTTACACGATAAAATACAGGTTTGATCTCACCGTCGTATACCAGGCCGTGCACTGCTTTACTCATTTCCTCCTTTGTGGCCATGTTGAGTGCCGGCAGCGGTGGAGGTTTCTCTTGATTGTTCCGAATCTGCACTATTTCATCATACCTGTGCCTTTCGCGGAACTCTTCAATCGCCTTCGGTCCAACTGCTTCCAAGATGGTCACCTTGGATCGAAGCGATATTGGAATGCCTTCTTCCACTTCTGGAAACAATGCTTCGACCAATCCACTATAACCCGAAGCTGGGATACGCTCGAAATTGTCTGCGTCCAGGTTCGTGTTATAGTATGGTGACTCCACCGGTGCTAGTTTTCCGTCCAACAAGGCTGCAAAGGGATGATTACTAAAACACTCGATCTCCCTTCTGGGATCCTTGCGCCTTCTTTCGGTGTCCTCGCGTCGGAAAAAAAGCTTTTTAGGCTCCGACCATGTCTTTTCGACGACGACGGATGGCGTTAGCAATGCGTTTTTCACCAATGATGCTTAAACTCCTTCTACCTCTTCGCTCACTTTAGACATTTTGGAGGGACCCGGCTGGTCCTCCACGTCTGACTCAGAAGAAGAGCGCGAGTAACTGCGCTCTCTTCGAACTCTAGTTTTCTTCGCAGGTCCCTTTACGGCGACGAGCTTTTGATTTTTTGACTCAACACTATGGGCGTATTCGTCATCCGACGAATCCCCGCATATATTTGGAATTTTTTGTTTTGCAGGTCCCTCCGAGGAGGCGACGAGCGGTACCTGTTTTCCTTGCGGCGTATCCTCGTCCATCGGAGCATCGGCGTTAGACGTTGTTAAGGACGTCTCCACGTCCTTTTCTTCGCGCTCCTCCTCCAAATGGACATCACCTTGTGATGTCAGGGCACCTGCAAAATCACTTTTCAACTGTAAATTATGGATATTTGGACATTTAAGTTAAGTTGGAAGTTTCGGTACATACCGCAAAGATCCGGCTCATTTTCGGTTTGCTTCGGGGGTTCCTCAGATGAGGCAACGCCCATGTTCGCTTGGCTGGAAGCCACAGTTTCAGACATTTCATCTGAAATGCGAAATTTTAAAATTTAGGTGATTTTCGTGTGCAAACGAGCGATCTCGCGAACACGACGAATCCCGAAAAACGTGTGAAAAACACCAAATATTGATGAATTGCAGAAATACTAAAGACGAGAATGTGAGGATAATATGGTGAATAATGGGAGAAAATGGAAATTTTCGAAAGGTAGAGAATTTGTTATGAAATGGTGAGGAAAATGTGAAAAAAACGTCGTTGTAGCGATAAGGCTGAAATACCTGAAATAATGATTTTATTGAGAAGTTCTAATAACTAGTGAACCAGCAATTGAAAGTGCTAGTAGCATGCGCGCGCTACGGGACCGCCACGTGGTTTCCCGCTATGTTCACATTTTTGAATTGCGCTTACGATTCTTTATATATTAGATTCATCTGAAATGCGAAATTTTGAAATTTAGGTGAATTTCGTGTGCAAACGAGCGATCTCGCGAACACGACGAATCCCGAAAAACGTGTGAAAAACACCAAATATTGATGAATTGCAGAAATACTAAGGATGAGAATGTGAGGATAATATGGTGAATAATGGGAGAAAATGGAAATTTTCGAAAAGTAGAGAATTTGTTATGAAATGGTGAGGAAAATGTGAAAAAAAACGTCGTTGTAGCGATAAGGCTGAAATACCTGAAATAATGATTTTATTGAGAAGTTCTAACAATATGTTAATTTGAATTTTTACGATACTGATAATTATGGTTTTCTTGAGCGTAAATTGTAATTATGTGATTCTGCTACCTCTACTGGCGTGTTTTCTGTCGTCCTTGTGGCTGCATGATTATGCCCTATAAGTTCTTCCTCAGGACTGTCTTTTGCCAAATTTTCTTCTTCTGGGATCGTTGGAAGCGTGGATGCTGGGCCCGTGTAATCCACTAATTTTTTAATTTGGTTAAGATGGACTTTGCGTGGTTTTGATTGCGGCGCAGTTATGCTAACGATTACAGCGTGAGGATGCTCCAATTTTACGACTCTGGACTGTCCAATCCACGGTAAACAGAGTTTACGCGCTAATCCTTGCTTATTTGTGTAATTACGAAACAAAACGCGATCGCCTTCCCTAATTTGCGTAGGTCGCGCTGTTTTGTCGTATTTGATCCTTCATTTTCTGCTTATACGCACGTGCGTGCTCTGCAGCATTGGACCATGCAAGATGTAATGCAGAAACTAATTGCGCTTTATATTCCGAGGTTTCATCGAAATTATTAATTTGCGCGCGTGCTTGCGGCAGCAAAATTTTGTCTATGGGGAAAACGGGATCTCTACCAAACATTAGAAAGAAAGGGGACTCACCTGTCGCTTCATTTATGGTAGTGTTGTAGCAGAAAGTAACGCAAGGAATGAATAGGTCCCAATCTTCTTGTTTCTCGTTGATGAATTTGGATAGCATTACCTGAAAAATACCAAATGTTCTTTCTGTAGCGCCATTTCCCATAGAATGATAAGGGGTAGCTAATTTTTGCTGTATGTTGAGGAGATTGCAGAATTCCTGATAAAAATGAGAAGTGAAGCTGGAGGCTTGGTCAGAAATTAATTCAGTCATAGTGCCGTACTTGAGAACGCATTCTGTGAAAAGTGCATGCGCGATAGTGACAGCTTTTGCATCTGGTAATGGAGTGGAAATGACATACCTGGTGAACCAGCATACTATGTTCAAAATGTACTTGTTACCTCTATCCGTGGTTTTGAGTGGACCGCACAGATCGAGTCCCACTTTGGCGAAGACGGCTTCGCTATGCACTGGAATAAGTTGTTCTTTATATGCTGGTTTCGGTTTTCTGCGCATTTGGCATGTGAGACAGCTTTCACACCATTTATGTATGTCACTATAAATTGTTGGCCAATAGTACTTACGCAAAATCTTGGCTAATGTTTTTCGCCAGCTGACATGGCCTCCTGAAAGTGCGCTAGAATGATGGGCTTCAAAGAGCAATTGTCGCAACGATTGGGGTACCAATAAGAGCAGTTTTACCGCATCTTTTCATTCAAATCGATAGTATAAGCAACCATCAGATTTTATAATTGTTTTGTTTGCCATTTCTGATACTTCTGTTTTGATTTGCTCATCAGTAGAGGGCTCTAAATTTTCAGTAGTTTTTAGCTGGAAAACTAACCCTAGGAAGCTGTCAGATTTTTGTTCATCTGCAAAGTTAACAGGGTGTTGTAGGCCTTTTACAAACGTCTTTCTGGGAAATGGTGAAGATTTAGCTTGCATACCTGTAGCTAAGCAGAATGTTTGTAAACTCACTGGGAATTCGATGATGTCTTGCAACTCGTCCCTGACTACTGGGATTTCGCTTTTGTCCTCGAAAATGCGCGATAATGCGTCGGCTACCGTGTTCTTTTCGCCTTTTACGTGTAAACTTTGATGTTGTAACTCTGCAGCTCAATTATCCACCTTGCTAGGTTGTCGTGCGTTTTACTTTTATTCAGTAAAAATGTGAGCGGCTTATGGTCACTATGTAGAACTACCTCGGACATGCAGATATATGGCTTGAATTGGCGTAACGCATATATAATCGCACCTAGTTCTACTTGTACTGCGGGCCAGCGACGCTCGCTTTCGCTCAAAGTGCGGCTACAGTATGCTATGGCATAGTATTTATTTGGCCCCGTTTCGTGCTCCTGCATTAGAGCGCCCGCTTGAGCTACCTGACTGGCATCCGTAAAAATGTGAAAAGGTTTATCGTAATTTGGGTACCCAAGGATGGGTTTTTGCAATTTTTTTTTCTCTAAGCTCTACGAAGGCGGCCTCTTGCTTGTCGGTCCATTGAAATTTATTATCCTTACGCGTTAGCCAAGCGAGCGGCTCAGCAATGGTTGCAAAATTTGGAATAAATTTTCGAAAGAATCCTACCATACCCACAAAACGCTTAACTTCCTTGACGTTGCGCGGGGTGGGAAATTCTCTAATGGATCGGGTATTTGTTTCCGCAGGTGAGTAGCTGTGCATATTTACCGTATGACCCAGAAAAGTGATCTGGTGTCTGGCAAAGACGCACTTTTTCGGCGATGCTTTTAGGTGGAATTCGCGCAAGCGGGTTAACACTTTTCGGATGGCGCTAAGGTGTGATGGGAAGTCTTTGCTATAGATTAGAATGTCATCAATATATGTAAGCACATTATCCTCTAAACCTCCTAACACGCGGGTTATTATGCGAGCGAAGTAACTACTAGCAGACTTTAGACCAAATGGCAGATGTGTCATCTGGTACACCCGATTCTCAGTTATTACGCCGCATTTATAACTACTTTCGTCATCTAGTGGCAGTTGTAGGTAGCCACTAGCGAGATCTAGAGTGGTGTAATACTTATTTCCACCAATTTTCTTTACCACATCGTCGATGCGGGGGATTGGGTACGGATCAGGAAGTGTTAAGTCACTTCATTGATTGGGCGGCGCATGTCTAGGCAGACGCGCAGTGAATTGTCCTTTTTACGCACTACAACTAGATTATGCACCCATGGAGTGTGTGACTCCTTCATTACGCCGCATTTTAGAAGCATGTTAACGTGTTTTTGTAGCTCTTCGCGATACTTTACTGGGACGCGGTATGGGCGAATGCGTGCTGGTGGATCATTATTAGTGTAAATATGCACCTTACCAGCTGTACAGCTACCTATGTCATACTGATGTCTAGAAAATACGTCGGCGAATTCTACAAGCAAATTTGCCAGCTGCTCACGTTCTACATCGCTTAGATCGCTATTGTCAAGATCTACGCGGTAGCTCGGGTCATCGCTAGTTAATTCGCTTACACACGAGATTGCGGGAGTAATTTGCGTATCATCAGCTTCAGTCACCGTAAGACCCTCTTGAATTACCTCAGCGGCATTAGCTATACGCATGCCTGCATATAGAGTTACCGGCTGGTTGCTTGGATTAGACACCAAAATATATGGTGTCTCGAAATTGATTATGGCCGGAGCTACTACGAGGTCCTTTTCATTTAATTTTGTACATTGTGAGACCAAGACAAAGTCATTCTTTGAGTTTGCGGGCGGGGCTGTGCACACTACAAAACTTTCGCTATTAGGTTGCAGGCATACTGTATCCCTCACTCTAATCGGGTACTCTAGCTCGCTCAGATCGTTTTTCTTTTTAGGGGTTGCACCCAGGGGGAGTACGGTACTACCGAAATGCACTTGCTTTGTTTGATAGTTGATGGTCATGGGGTGTAGCTTGGAAAGAACGTCTTGACCCAGAATTACTTCATAATTGGAGTCTACATTGGGTACACAATGGCCTTTAGTGAAATGGAGAACCGCGTATAACTGTGTGTCACCTATGTCGAATTTGACAGTTTTAGAACCAGCCATTGGGATAGGAGTGCCTGCCATGCCTAATGCTGCGAACATGTGGGGTTTGTCAAGATGGAATATTCCTAGAGCTGCGCATATTCCATCCGAAGCTAGTGTTATGGTTGAACCCGTGTCAATTGACGCTGATACGCTTATATCATTGATTTTTATTCTGATATGCGCGGATGTAACCGGGTGCGTCAGGGATACATGACAAACTTTAGGGAAGTCATAACGCTTGATCGTTGTTAGTTGCATTGCATTGGAGTCATTGGCTTGGTTATTTGAAGGATTACTCTGATTATTAGGTTGGAAGGTGCGTAAATATTGCAAGAAGTTGGTTGGAATTTGGGTCGAAAGATAAAATATGAGAGCGCGTGAAAGTATTTGAAAGGTAACGATAGCACAACAGACCACTACCCAGGGGTGGTAAATGTACTCCAATACGTAATTGAGTAATTTACGCGGTGTTGCAGTAATGAAATTAACGTTTGAGACTTTTTGTACAGGATTAGGATTGAAGGAGCCCAAGTGTGCGTTCAAAATTGCGTCATGACTTTCGATTGCTGCCCACAATTCAGTAATTTGTTGTTCGGGTATGAACTCACTTAGATTAGTAATAACCAAATTATGAAATAGAGTAAGAGCTGGCTTTACGAAATTAGGTGAATGATCACTAGAGAGTTGCAGAGTGGTGATATCGGAGGAAGATATAGATTCGAAGGTATATGTAAGAGGATAAAATTTAAGAATAGAGTTGTTACAAGGGATTTCAAACGATAAATGTTCAGAGCAAGGAATAGAATCTACCTCATTGGTCAAAATTCCCGTTATGGGATCGATAAATGTTTTCCATTGTGATTTATTAGGCAAGTTAACAATGACGGAGGGATGTGAAAGCAAGAAGAGTTAAATTTTACTAAAGAATATAACGACGGAGGAATTACAGCGCAAGCTTGCGTAGCGACAAAGTTTTCGCCTATAAAGTTCGCTTTGATATCAGAACGCTGTAAAATATTTCGCATGGCTACAGTAGGATTTGCGGAGATAGCGGCTGCAAAAGACATGCTCAGAGAATTCATAGACTTGCATAAGGAGAGAATGGTATGATGAAAAGATGTAGTCAATGAATCTTGCATATTGTCCTCGACTGCTAATAACTGCGCGGCTAATTGGTTAGAAGTTGCGAGGCCAACTTGTTGCAAAACTGTTAGCTTAATGTGTCTTTTTTGACGAGGCATGGGAGGATAGAATTGAGCAGCGTATCCCTGGTCAGTAGTAACAAGAGAGTGACCACAATCAAGAAATTGAGAACCAAATGAAGGAAAAGATAGAGCAAATTCTTCAGAGTCGCTTAGCCATACCTTATCTACCAAAGTGCCTTTCATGGGCGAAACCAAAACATACTTACATCTCTCCTCTGATTCCGGCGTCCATAGTACGGCTGCTCCATCCTTCGTTGTACAGGCTCCCTCCTCATATCGGCATCCCTCCAGCGGTCCTATGGAGCTCTCGATCGTAGGAGATCCGTGATAACCATATACCGTTACCTGGAATATGATACAATTTGCAACAGTCATGGTATAGTCCGAACAACAATGGAAAGGAGCGGAAGGCCAAACAATTTCAATTTTATTCAAAGTTTTCCAAACGTTACCTATTGCTGAAAGTTCGCCATAAGCGCAAACTTTGTGACTGATCATGTGCTGACACACCCCTTTTGAGACGGTCTGCTCTTTCGTTACAGTATCCTGTGAGCGAGCACCAAAAAAGTTTACGGAATAAGTGACTGTTTGGGTAATTATTCGACAAACATTAGCTGTGCTCTTATACCTAATTGTGTTTGGTCTAAACACTTTGATTTTTGTTGGGCGTGCTATCGCAGCCCAGCTAGGCAAAATTTTAGTACAGTTGACCCCAGATGGTATTTTCCAGTACATATGTGACAGGTGATTTGTTAGAACATAAGTACGCAGGAGGTAACTCGTATGCAGATGCGTAAGCAATCAAAGCGAGAACTAACATACATGTGGATGTGAGTTTAGAAGGACCGGATGTGGAAGAGAATGTGCGAGGAGTTATCTCTCCGCCATCTGTAGAACTGTTCGGTTCACGGGTTGCAAACGCAATGTCTGCCAACGCGTTATTTCTGACGATTAGCGCCGCAATATGAGCATCTTTTTCCTCTAGCAGAGATTGAGTGCGCGCATTAGTGATATCTGGCGCTGGTGTCTGCTCTACTGCTAGCACATTGGATCTGTCGTGACTATCTGATCGTTGTTGCGGGATTGAATTACGTTGCGCAAGGGGTCTAGAGTAATCTATACGCTCTCTTGGACTTTGTCTATGATTCAAATTTGGTGGGGGATTATTTCTTATTGGAAATTGACGCCGCTGTTGAAAATTGTTGTTAGGGGGAGGCATACTAGGGCGACAAACATTAGCAAGATGACCGATTTTTCCGCACTTGTAACAAGTCACATTCGCATTGGATGAACGCGGCCATGAGGATTAAATCTATTAGAAAATGATCTTACCTCTCTCGGTCCGAAATTGTTGGTTGGATGGTCTCTCCTTTCACGGTTGAAGTCTCTCCTGACGTCATCGGTTTCTCTCCTTGCGACGTACGTACGTAGATCTGGATTAAATACCATTACATCGGACATTTCGTTGCATAAAGACTCATATGTAATTGCTTTTACCAGAGCATCTTCAAAGGTTTTGGGGCTTTGCGCTTTGACGTGCCATTTATCTGGTTTTAGGCGATTGACGAATTCTTCCAAAAGTCTGTCTTGCACAATGTTCTTAGGCGCCCCTTTCATTAGAATTTGGACCACTTTTCGGACGCGCTTACTAAAAGAGTCCAAATCTTCATTGGCTCTTTGCTTGCATTCAGCCAGTTCTTGTCTTGCTATTTCGCGAGAGTATGGCAATTCAAAATGCGAGCGTAGAAACGAAACTACCTTATCATAATTGTTTCTGTCCTCGGGGGCCATTTCTTCAATGATATCGCGCGCGTCGCCTCTTAAAATAGCATAAAGTGCATTGACTTTAGGTTGTTCCGGCAGAGGTACGACAGTATTGCGCATAATGTCTTCAAACTGGCGATGCCATTCATTAAAATCTTGGGTGCTATCACCGAAGAAGTATTCAATATGTTTGGGCACGAGCTTCCCGAGGGCAAGGCCGCTATAAGCTTGACTTAAAACATTAACTTCCGATGAGTCAATGCCGAATCAACTGGACTTACCGTCTCTGGAGGTGATGATCGAGCAGAGTCGTTGTTGTCCTGTGTTGCGGTCCGCGATCGGGTGTTGATGCGAGCGATGTTGGCTTGAGTGTGGAAAAGACGTTGCTCCTCCAGATCCTTAGCGTTGGAGTGGGTGCTCGTCTCCTAAGTCGGCTTATTATATACTATTCCCGATGGTATGTGCTCTTTGTGCGCGCCGCATCTTTGTTTCTGCCATCGGCAACATGTGCTCGATGAAAGCCAAGATAGGGGAAAGCTTTGTATGAGAGTTTCTCACACAAAGGGACAAAGATGCTATCGCGCTTGAAAACATACCGAAGTTCGCATGAGATCATGAATGGGAATTCAAACATTGAATAGGAATGCTTGAGATTGCATGCAGACTATGTTTATAATAGACAAAGAGAAATTTGTTGCGTGATTTAGCCGCGAAAAACCGAGATGGCATGAATGAAACTCAGTTTGGGGCACGGACAAAGAAAAATGTGCATAATATAAAGTTTTACGCTTGCAAATTTGAATTTTTTGGAGGTTTGGTACAAGAAACGAAAAGTTATATGGAAAATTTGCATAGAGTTTGTTGTGAGTTATACGAGAGATTGCGATCAAGGCTATAAGTTCAAGAAAAGTGCACGAGAAAAAAAGATTTTAGCGAAAACAACACGGAATCATGTTTTGCTCAAAACATCGCACATGAGCGGGAGTTTGGATAAGATTGAGGTTATTGAGAAAGACTTGCAAGACAAGGATAGGTCTAATGTTATGAGTAGTTAGTAGTGAGAATGTAACATGAATGAGCAGATAGTAAGATTATACAAAAATGCAACTAAACGAGACCAAGTGAGAAGAAAACAGCGTTCTACGCGAAAAAAAAATTTATTATCTGATAAAAACTCACCTAATCCTGGAGGTCCTCGTGATGGATAGAATAGCAGAGAAGTAAGTGGCTGGAATAGAATGATCGATATCTATTGAGTGCCACCTTTCTTACCATGTATTGACCGGTTCGCTTAGCTTGCCGTTTCCTGCCAGCTATTGACATGTAAGGATCAATTAGCTCAGGAAGGTACCTGTTGATAAGCGGCGATGGCGCAAGGCGATCGAGTCTGTCTCTCGCTAGTCCAAGGAGGGTTCAATTCCCCTCCCGGGCCGAAGCTTTGCAATCGTTTCAGCACCTTACCCTCCATCAAAAACCTTCTTGCAGAGTGGGATGCGCCGACATCCGTCGCTTTTGGGGGGTTCTCTTGGCCCCCCTGCCTCTCGGCAACGGGGGTGGGGGGGGGGCACTCGTGATTATAAAAAGACCGGGGTTTTGGATGATATAAGAGTGATGTAACGTGCGTTTCTTAGGACACCCAGAGTAATAAGGAAACAACTATATCAACAGCAATGTCACCATTTTTTCCGGAATACTCTTTTCAAGTGAAAATCACACATTTTTGGTGAATAATGGCCAGCAAGGACCAATTATTTCAACTTGTCTGGCTCCCAGGTCCCCAAATGGGCGACGAGGTTTGAGTGAAGAACAAAAATCATTCATTTCTTGTGTGTTGCCGTGCAGCGACAAAATTCCAACAAAAAAAAATCAAAAAGACAGATGATTTGAAGAAATTGAGAGAGATTTTGAATCTAGTAGGTGGCCATCCCCCAGACTCTACGCTGCACAATTTTCCAATCAAACTCACCCCCGGCTGAGGCTAAACGGGTCATCCCATGAGCTACTCTCATGAAGAATTCAATTCCTACAAGAGGTAAGGTCGGTTTGGGTCGCGGGCTACTACGAGGCCGCACTCGCTGCTACCACTTATGGATATCGTGTCACCCTCTTACATGAACGATACCATATTAACGCGAAAGAACGCCTCAAGGTGCACCTAACACAATCTTACAAGATGTGTTTATCTCAATAAACATGAACAACTCGCAAATATATCAAGCCGGCAAAAGAAAACAACAGAAACACAACAAGAATGAGAAATTGGAGCCCAAACGTGATGGCTCGCTGGTCGTAGGTTCTTCACTGACTCGCCAGACTCCTCCTCTGCTTGGCATAGTTGCGCGTCGAGCTATCGCTGTGCCATCTGTAAACAAAGAGTATGGGAAGGAAGAAAGCGTACGGTGTTATACAAGTGATAATGGGAAAAGGCAAAAAGGAAAAGGAAAAGAATAAATGTAGGTTTACATACCGGATATATACAGATATATACTTCTATTTACAATACATAGCGCCCCAGGTCAAAGACCATGCTCACTAAGGGGATGGTCAGAAGTCGGAGGGGCTACTCCAAACAAGCGGCTTATTACCAAACGCATAACAACGCTGATTCTACTTTCTTTCTTATCTACTAAACGCTTTCGTGGATAAATTACATCTCTTACCGCATTACAATTCCTATTGTCGGCGCAAGTCATACGGGAACGTGGTGCAGGACCCTGAAGTGGCATCTGCATTGATGCAAAGGGACACGCAACTGACAGTGGTTTGTAGCAGTGGCGTACCCAGGATTTCGGCTCGGGGGGGGGGGCGCGACAAAAAAATTTTTCTAAAGAAGGTGCGTGGCGTTAGCCACGCACTCCGAAAAATTTTTTGGGGTGCTTCTCAAAATTTTTCCGGGTCCCCGACCCCTAAAATCTGGAAAAAGGGGGCGTGGCTGAAGCCACGCCCCCGAAAAAAAATTTTTTATAAGGCTAAAATGAATTTTTAAAAAATTTTAAAAAATTATTTTAATTATTTACAAGTAAAAACAAGTCACTTGCACATTTTTATAACCCATGTAAGTAACTTTCAAAAATTTCGCGACCCGTTCTCGGGGGGGGGGCGCGCCCCCCCCCCCCCCCCGCCCCCCCCCCCCTCGGTACGCCACTGGTTTGTAGGTATGTATGCAAGTGCTAGGCTACTGCATAAATTCTGTCGTACTTTTGTTGCTTTGTGTTCGAAGCAATCGGTCTAAGAGATTTTTGCTTCTGATGCGTTAGTATGAATTATTGAAAAGCATTTTTCTTGCCTCTTCTAAAACATTAAATTTCAACAGAACCATCAGTCTTGAATAAGCACAGGATGAGTCTTTGAACCTAAACTTCCAATGTGATTTTGTTAGTACTCCCTTCAGTCAACTTTGAGTATTGTTAGACCTACAATAATAGGAGCCAATTTTCCCTTACCTTGATTTTTGACCTAGTCCTAGGTAACTCACTTTTAGGTCTAATAGGCTTCCTCACCTATTCATTAGAAAAGAGGAAATAAGCAAAACAAATGCGTAAAAGTTCAATAAAAGCATGTTCTTAATCTGAATGTTCTCAATTCACTTCTAGAAATTCGCCGTCATTTACTGCGAGCACCTGAAGGCTGTTGAGTGGATGCGTCTACTCAGTACTCCCCACGACTTTGCAATATGAAGCCTCTTGATGACTTTTGATGACTTCAAGAGCTCTAACCCAACGAACCTCTCCAGAATCAACTACTTTGACCCAACGGCCCTTTATATGGCCACGATTACGATGAATAGGACCGTAGAAATATTTCAACTCAATGTACTTATTACTATAGTATATAGAAGTAAAACTCAGGGCGAGTTTATGATTTTCATTAAGTAAACCTTGCTACAACGAACTGCGAAGGAAGTAGGTCGACACAAAAAATGACCGCCGAAACTAATGTTTTTAATGATAAATTTGGGAAAAATCAGGAGTGATCGCAACTTTCAAAGTCAGATGTCTGGGGGGGGGGGGGAGGGGGAGGGAGGGTAATGCAAGAGGAATTAAAGGTCTAATGCCTGTAACCACGGGAAAAAAACAGAAGCGCGAACGCTGTGGAGAAGATTTTGGCATCAATCCAGGAAAACATGGCAAACATACCGATTGCGAACAAACCCTTATAACATTGCATGGAAATAACTTTGGAAGTTATCAAAGACAAATTTGGATTTAGCGTTGAAAGTCGCATTTGCGCGTAATATAACAGTAAGCCAAAATTTGACAGTAGTTGTACTAGTAGAATAGTGACTTCAAAAGACCATACCCACTTGTTTCCATGGAATTTCAAAATTTCGATTTTTGATAGGACCGCATTTTCCTTCAATGCTTATTATTTTGCTGAAACTTGGAAGCAGTTTCTCAAAACAATCAACCCAATTGCCACTACCAAATCAAAATATCATAAAGAAGTATTTGGAAGCTAGTGTAATAATTAATATGCAGTTCGTCTCGTAACTTCGAACTTGTTTCAATTCTATACTTTGAGACTTTCGTGAGATTCCATAGAAATGGACAATGAAACTATCCCCGTGATGCTTTAGGAGTTATATACAACAGCAAAATCATTATTCGCTACTTTCAGTTTTGAATCAGTCCCAAAAATCCCATTGGAACTGATCAAGATGTCATTTCATCTGTCGTTTTTTTTCGTTGAACATAGAGCTAGAATAGCGAGAAGAGCTCTTTATACTAAAAAAATTCGCCTTACAATGCTGATCCCAAACCTATGCTATATATCTTTCAAAGAGTTATAAAGGTTTGTTTTTAGTGGATGTCCTTGCCAAATTTTCTTGGACCCCTGCCAAAATCTTCTCCACAGCGCTCGCGCTTCTAATTTTCAGGCGGCAGGCCTTTGGTTCCTCCTGCACCGCATCCGTCTGGAGGTGCCAGCAACTGCGACTTCATAGATTTTGAAGGTAACTGTTTCACGCCAAATATTAGAAAAGCAGTTTGATATGAGAGTTGTTTACCGAGAAAAGGAATTCTAGAGGAACACCATCTCAAGTCTGCCCTATCAGACTTCACTGCCGCGCCGATTCAATTGACATCGCCAAGAGCCAGGCCCTGTGAAGAAACAGGTAAAGGAAAGAATTTTTTTGCAGTTCAACAGCACAAACTTCTTCAGAACATTATGAGTCTCGTGGCGACTTTATTGGCTAAATTATCCTATTCAAGAGCTTTCAGATGATACATATGTATATGTGTGGGAGAGGGGGGGGGGGAGGGAGGGGTTTTGCCTCCTGCGCCTGGAGGAGTCTTTCATCACTGAATTTCCTCTAGCGGTCCCGCAAAGCCACTGAGGTGGAAAGGGGGGGGCCATCGACTTTCAACCCCAACGACCTTAGCTACTGTAGTCCGAGTAAGGGGGCAGGGAGTTTGATCTAATACTAAATGTCTACTTTTTGGGCAGTAGTGCCCGGCACTACCTTTCACTATTGGCGGCCACTGGTAGCTGAACTCACTTTCACTTTTGGGGGGCCCGGATCCTCCCATCGCCTTCTGATATGATTTCTTCATTTGCTCGTTAATATTAGGGTGTCTCAAACTTTTCTACACTTTTTACTAATACCGTCGTGTTTTTGTGTCATTTCTTCAGTTGATGTGGTTTCCAATCATTCCACAAGGCAAAGCAAGCTCTACAAGATGGTTCTAAAGAGCCTGCCCAAATCGTAATCCACGCGAAGTTTTGAGCTGAAATCAGATAGCAGTCGAAACAAACTTCACCGTCACAAATCGTATCTCCTCCCCCCCCCAAAAAAAATCACGAAAATATCCCATCTAACCTAGCACATGCTTGACACATCCATTCAGTTGTACACTCATACTCTCGATACATAGAGCCACATATTCTGGTAACCTTCATATTAAGGGCTATGAGGGGACACAACCTTCACCTAAAAAAACAATAGTCATCCGGAGCTTCGCCCGGATGTTATTATCCTAACTAGATCGAAATGAATGTTGATGGAGCAAATATAGGGAACAATTTTCCTAGGTCATTGCAGCGAAACCGAGAATTTGCGTTTCATAGCCTTTTTCACGTTAAAAAGAAATTTTCTATGAAATTTTTGCCAGAATTTAGAACAACATTTTTCAGCCAACCACTTATCTGACCAAAATCGAGTTTCAGAAGTTTAGGAAAGCTGTTGGAGTTGAATAAAAACGAGGAACTGCGCTTAAGTCTTGCGCAGAAAGTCGCGCAAGAAAACGCCGATTTATCCTGTTAATGAGTGACTTTCAAAGCTTGGGACGTTGTCAGTTCTCCTCGTCGTGTTATGGAGATCAGAATGATATATAATGTTGCAGGGTTTCGCTGAGGCCCCGCGGAGATCTACGACCAGAGCCAAACGCCCCGTCGGCTCTGGTCTGCCGCTGCTCGTCTGCGCCTCCGCGCGCTGCGCCCTACCCCGCTACCCTAAACGCGGGGCGCGGG